TTGGGTTTCTCCAGGGGAACGGCACGGAACTTGCTTGAATCATTTACTGAGGCTTCACAAAGTAATCGCAAGTACTCGGTTTTGTCCAGAACCACAACACCAGACCCTTTGTCGGGTTTCGTGATAACTATGTCGTCGCTATGTAATCTATGTAACTATGTAACTATGTAATCTTTTTTCCGGGAGAACAATCAAAAATTGTTCGTTGGCGTCCGTTTTACCAGTACATGTAGTACCCAGACTTCCGCCACCTGTGCAGTCGCGCGTGTTTATAATGGCTGATCCTAAATAAGGTTACGAGCAATCCTTGCTTTCGGTGAAGTCCGTTGTGCGAATCATAGAAATAAGTGACAAGTAAATGATCTTAGCGCGCCGCGGAGAACTCTAGAAGTGCACGACGCGCTGACACCAGTTTTTCGGTGAAGCTTTGGATCAGGTGACGGAATTTTCCGTAAAGGAGAGAGGGATCTCAGTCTACTCATAAATATAGGTATCATTTATTTGAATTACACTTGTTTTTGCAGATCAACTGTATGGTATCTGGATCTTTAAGTGTAAAATGGATGATATTTCTTTGGACGAAAGCTAACAAGACCTATAGGCCACTCGATGATTTCAGGTTAGAGGTATTGAGATAAATGCCAATTATGGAAGATGAGGAAGGCTTCTTTAAATCATGATAGATGTAATGCGTTTGCACAACAAAGAATGCGTAGTCATAGAAGTCGAAGCTATTATGATTTTCGCTTGTCTTTTTTGATCTTTGAACTTTTGGATCCGCAGGCCCCGATAGACTCCACTTTGTGGTGAGTCTGCGGTCAAAATTTTACAACACGGTTTATTTCGTAATATTATCCACGTTCCTCGTGTTACCACACGTGCTTGAATTTAATCTGCAACGATTTTTATAAACAGATATATGGAAGTAACGAGCAGCACCACAACTGCTGGACGAGTGTAATCCACTTTATATTAGAAACACGTTGGGTTATTTCTGAGATTTTTGTCAAAACTGAGATATGACAGGACAGGAGGTGTTCATTTAAAAAAGGGTCCATTAACTTTTTCTCACATTCCAACCAGATCGGCTTATGATTATTTTCCCCAATACATCTGGAAAAATACAAACTTAAACTTAGATTTTGTAGAGGCACACTTCGTACTCGTGATTTCGTTCTAAACTTAATAATTAACTATTATTTCAAGAGCGCGCGTTGGATACCAGATGATAGATAGCCAACGAGGTACGTAGCGCCGAGTTGGCTATAATCATCTCATATCCAACAAGCGCGAGTGGAATAATTGTTTTATTAAAAACGTTAAATTAAATT